ACTGTATCAAACCCCAAAAGTATTCATTTTAATGAGTTGTACCGTATCAAACCCAACAAAATATTTGTTTTAACGAGTTGTATCAAACCCAAAAAGACATTTTAACAAGTTGTACCTTATGCATGTCAAGTTGTACTGGTCTGCAGTAAGTCTCATCTAGTCTGGTCTGCGGTCCACAATATTCTCCAAAACCGATCTTGTCCAAGAGTCGCTTTGGTCCGGTTCAGTCCTGTCCAGTCCAAATGCTCACCCTAGTTCTGAGTGGTCTCCCAAGCTGTAACACCCGATATTTCTAAGGTATTTATTTAACTTTTGGTTATTTAATTATTAGAGTTTGGGCCTTGAAGTCATTGGACATTTTTCATGTTGGGCTTAGGGTGTGTTGTATACGGGGCGTACCACCCTATGTACGTTGGGCGTACTGGTGTAAATGTGACGTGGATGTCATGCACGTACGCGCTGTACAAGGAAGTACATGCATCATACGTGTCCATGCCCCAAAACCCTAATATTTAGGGTTTGAGCACTATATAAAGAACATTATGACACAAGGATCTTTTCTATCTGCCTCCCTCTTGTCCCTAATCAACCTCCACGAAACCCTAACCCCATTGTTGAGTGTTCTTGACCTTGGAAGGTCTTTTGAGTGCATTTTGGTGTGTTTTGTCCCATTTTCAAGAAGGAGAAGGTTGGAGCAAGGTGGTGGTTCAAGGAGAAGCTTGTAGATCTGGGTTATATGCTCCATTTCTAGCTGGTCCAAGGTATAAAGTCTTGATCTTCATCTTTAGAAGTTTAGATCTCCTTGCTTTAGCTTTTGGACCCCTTTTTGGTCCCATAGATGATATCTTGTGGTTCATATCATTTATGAAGCTTAGAGTTGCCACTCTTAGTGTTCCTTTGGCCCTAAAGTTGTCACCTTTGAAGCTTAGACCCAACCATGCATGAGAAATGGCCATTTTTATGGAAGTAGAATTTTATATTTCGAGTTTGGGCTTATTTGGGGCATGCAAAGTTACCAAGTTAATGAATTTATGGTTTAAGATGTTGCATATGACTTAGATTTGTGATTGGGAGCCTTGGACTTAAGTAATTTAGAGCTTAATGGAGAAAGAGCTTAATGGGTGAGTACGTTGGACGTATAAGCTCGCACGTGCAATATACAAGCCATGTAGCCTGTACGCTTAGCGTACAGTTGAGTACGCCCCGCGTACTCAATGATTTACTGTCAGCTCGGGGAGTCGTCAGGGCAGCAACTAGGAATTTATTTAAGTCAGACTCAACATTTAAGGTGAGTTTCCTCACTAGGTTTAGCTGGTCTAAGGCACCAAGGCCGACTCTCAATTGGTTATGTTATTATACTTGTTGTATGTGCTTGTATATGTATGTTTATTGGGCGGGGCATGTATCTTATTTGGCGGGGCCCATATCTCATTTGGGCGGGGCCCGTTATATGATATGTATGGTATGCGGTATATTGGGAGCTCATTAAGCTTTGTACTTATGGTTTTTAGTTTATATTTTAGGTATTTCTAGTTCCAAGGAGAAGAGCTCGGGTTGACTGCATCGCACACACTATATGGATTCTGTTTGTGGGTCATACTCTGATTTTTATGATGTTGACATACTTATTTTATTGGGTTGTATGAACAATGTTTTGGAGACTGTTTTTACTTAAATCAAAAATGAAATTTTTGATTCATAATTTTTGGATGTTTCACAAGTTATCTTTATGGATGTCATGATTTTATGAAGTGGTTCGAAAAGCATATGGAATGTGTTGGTGCTATTTCCAGAGATCCTAACCAAGACGGATTTCAAGGACAAAATCCAGTTTACGTGGGGGAGAATTGTAACATCCAGTTTCATGACGTTTCTTATTTTGGATTTTAGCTTGGCCACAATGTGGTGATGGAGGAACCCGACATGACATTATCTATTAGAGGAACACACATATGTCTTGTACCATGACATGGAAGGGAGCTGGCTACAACGTGGTGGCTGTTTTGGTCCAAAACCCTAGATTTTATGGTTTGTGCCTTATTTAAAAGCACTAAATCCTAGGGTTTCCTCATTTGGTAGCCTCCACCCTCCGAGATCTGATTCCACCTAAACCCTAGCCTCCATTGTTGACTTTGTGAGGTTTTATGGTGATTTTGGTACCTTGAAGAAGAAGAAGGTGTGCTTGGTGGATAGATCCAGCAAGTAAATCTCCTCATCATTATCTTGTGTATTTTCTGGACTCTTGTAAGTCCTCAAGCTTCTACCTTTTGTGTTCAAGCATGTTAGATCTAGACTTTTACCCACTTTTATCCATGTTTGGGATGGTTTGAGTGGATGGATTTCATTAAGTTGGCAATTTTATGGGTCATTTTGGTTTCTTTGTAGTCTCTTGTCCTATATCTAAAGAGTTATGGAGTTTTGGTTCCATGCATGAGGCTTTAACCTTATTTTCACCATTTTGACCTAACTTAAGCTCAAGACATGCATTATACATGTATGCCTATAAATCAATGATTTTTATGATGTATTGGGTGTATAAGAGCCTTCTGGAAAGTATGAATGTGTAGTTGGAAGAATTAAGAGCTTAATGCATTAAGCTGACCTTAGCAGTTTCTAGTTTCCACGAGGTGGTGGATTGGTTACCACGACGAGGCATCATACAGTCTTTACGATTGTATTTTCTTAAAGCTACCACAACATGGCTAATGGGTATACACTATGTGGGGGTCAATTGAGGTTAACTATGACTGTTGACTTTTTGATCATGTTGACTTTTGGTTAACTTGAGGGTTTCACAGTGTAGAGTGAGAGGGTACTTCTATCTTGTTGTTTAGGTTCCTCATAGTACCAGTCTTCACTAATGAGAGCTGTTCTGTATAACTACTATTTACAAGGTGAGTCTTCCCATTGTATTACCTATGTCATAGTGGTGTGAATGTTAGACTAACTGAGTCTTATTTTCTGATGGCTGATATATATATATATATATATATATATATATATATATATATGCTTCGAGTTGTTGATAAATATAGGACTGTTGTGAGACCATGAGACTGTGGATAGTCCCCATGGTGGATGATAACCCACATGGCTTGTTATTAGCCCATAGAGCATGTTGTTAGCCCATTAAGACTACTAATAGTTCCCAAGGTTGCTAATAACCCATAATTGTTATATATGTTGTGTTGCATATGCTATTTTGGGAAACTCACTAAGTGTCATGCTTACATTTGTGGATTAAATTTATTTCAGGTACTTTAGATGGTTGTGGGAAGGTGATGACTTGATTGTACACACACCTACGATTTTTGAGATTACACATATTTATGATACTCTAATTCAGGATCATTGCACTTGATATTTATGGTTTTCTTGACTTTGTTTTATGGAAACAATGTTTTTACCTAATTTAAAAATGAAATATTTAGTTTTTAAATTGGGACGTTACATTTTAAATATTCAACCAACTGATGTTTGTTGATCATATGTTGTCTAATTAGACCGTGGGAATTGATATAATTCTAACATATTAAATTTCACTGTGCATGACTCTTAAAATTGTTTTAAATCCAGCAATTCCCAACAATGGTATCAAATTAACTTTTAGACATTATAATCACCATTGATTGATTTTGATTGTCCGTGTTCACTGTTCTTGATGTTCACGGTAATGATCAAAATACTTCAAAATCAAAATGTTTGGATATTTAGCATCTAATGGTTTTAATATAATTTTTTTCAGGAGAAATATTATTATTGGTTGCTTATGGTTCCAAGAGAGCTAAAATCACTTTGGGGTAATTTTAGCTATTATGATCCCCATTTGAGCTAAAATGAATTTTAGCGATTTCTAGTGGTTGCTTACAACTCCTAGAGAGGTACTTAAGTCGTTGATAAGAACATGTTTGGTATTAAGTCCTAGCAGGGTACCATAGTATTGCTATAACACCCATGTGTATGGACCGATAAAAGGGATGTAGATTGGTCTATGGTTTTTGTGGAGTTTAGACCCACTACTTGATGAGTGACATAATGTAAGTTGTTACGTCTATCTCTTTGTCGTTGATCTATATTCAAAAAATGATAAATCGCTCGAAAAATGATAAAACGCACCATCTGAGTAGCCCACATCAACCCGTCCCAAAGCCATGTGGGAGATAAATTCTGGAACACCAACAATATTTTGGGCTTGTCTGGATTTGAACCATGAACCCTCATGTGCGGAATTCCAAACTTTAACCATCAAGATCTCATCATGTTGGCAATCTATTGTTTGTATAATATGATGGTCAAACAAATGACAAGCAACAACCAAAGGGTCTTTGGCCTAGCATATTAGGAGGTTATGGACAAATGTCCTATCAACCAAAAGATTGAGGGTTCAAGTCCCGCTTGGGACATAATGCGTATATTTAGGAGTAGAGTAGTGAGTGTGTAGGTAAACTGTTATAAAAAAAATGACAAGTAACAATTTTGATATTTATTTTTATTTCGTTGCACATTGCGAGCATCATGACCTATCAAAAGCCGAACAATATTGTGGTAAGAGATTCGAAATGCCAAGAGAACGAAATATGAATTGCGGAATATATAGACAAGAAAAACGAATACGAATTTGGCAAAAGCTTAGAACATGAATTTTGCAGAAAATACAAACTTAAAGAGTGTTCGTTAAGTTGCATATCAAGTTATCAATCAAACAACTACACCCACTTTATACGCATCGAAAAAGAGTAACATGGTATAAAATGTGACAAAAACTAATAGACAAAAAGCGGGCTAAAACTAAGCACTTTTCTGGACCAAAATGGGCCTTTCATAACTAATCAATGGGCCTAAATCTAAATCAGTGAAGCAGGCTCATTATCCACCTCTAATATATAAGGCGAATAGGCTTCATCATATTTCAACATTTTCTTGGTCTCATAAATATATGTTGATCAATTCAACAAAGAGACATTATCCATACATTTAAAAAAAGTATTATATATAAAAAGCACATAGTTCACAAATTCTTTTTATTTGCTTATGCAATCAAACAAATTACAGATTCTTCTCTCATTTTATTGTCATTGAAGAATCCTAGCCTTTTGGCTTTCTGGTGTGTGATTTGGTTGTCATTTTAACCAAATAAAAAACTCAAAAGGAGAATTTATCCTTTTTCCCTTCTGGTCTTGAAATAATAAAAAAGCATTTACAATTTCAAACAATGAGCATTTACAAACATCTAACACCAAGGAATCAAAGAATTGCTAAATCCCACAAATTTTTCTTTAAAGAATTTTCATACGCGCTTTCGGATTATCGTTTGACGGGATTTTCGTGTCCACAACATCAAGAATCCCAAAATCCCAATTCCAGCAAATGTCCACATCACCACCAGCCATTTTGGCATTGGAGTTGGAAACAAACCTAACCATAAAAATAAAAATAATAATATTATTATCATCAACAAAAACAAAACTAAGTGATGAAAATAAAACTCACCATATCCAAACTTGATACATATGAAGAGTTCAATGATGCAAATTGCAAGGGAAAGCCAACAAAAAGCTCCCACCTTTTTCACCGGTTTTCTGAAAAATATATTCATAATAAAAGAATAGTGTATCAAGAAAACGACATCCACACATAATCAAAAAGGGCCCATTCCCATTTGTCAGAAGAAGTTGTACTGTGTTTGACATGCAGTGGACTATAACTGATGTCAATGAGACAACGTCAGATACCCTAAATACTATTTGTACTGTGTTTGACATGCATTGGACTATGACTGATGTGAATGGGACAATGTCAGATACCCTAAAAATACTATTATATATGGATAAATATAAACATGGTTATAAGAAAGAGAGGGTTATTTTTACCGATCTTGTAGGTAAGAATTATACTCTCGAATTGTAGGGATTGCAATGAGCCACCAAAGGACCAATCTATAAACAATGATTGGGTTTCTAGGAGGAACCCAAAGGCAAAATTTTAAGAAAAAAGTATTGAGTTCAACTGTTAAGAACACAATGCAAAGGCTAAGAACTTGAATGAATCTCCATGGGCCAAGTAGTGGATGCCATTCATCTTTGTCCCAATGTGCAGGTGTGAATTGACCCAATGTTCTTTTCACCTGAAAAAAGAAAAAAAAAAAAAAAATCAGTTCAATGAAGGTTTTTTTTGGAGCTTAAAGAAATGTATAAAAAGATGATGTACTTTGCCTAATATATTCGGTTGACGACTTATTCCAACCCATTCGTATGTTTTTCCATCAAAATATCGAACAGTATGCATTCCTGCCCATATACCTGTGCAAAAGCAAGGGCTTTTTAGTAAATTTCCAAATGTATATGTTGAAATTTGAGTCATTTGGAGATGATAAAGTACAACACTATATGCTTTTTTTGTGGTTTCTTACCAAACCAATTGCAGATTAATATATCAAGAATAATGCTATCCCACCAACACTCATTGAAATTTGGCAACATATGGCGAAAAGTAAGCTGAAAAATAAAAGAAAAAACATTAATTCATATTACAGAAGCTCAAGTAGTTACATTGCAATTTTTCATTCCATAATTTAAAAAAAAAAAAGAAGGTAATTTGCTTGTCCTCTTTCCAAAAAATAAAATGGAAAAAGGAAACAACACCTCATGGGTAAGGAATGGAACATTCCATCAAGAATGGAATGAACCATTCCATTCCTGTGCTGATTCCAGCATACATAACACTAACCTCCATTAATTCAAATCCAATTGATAACACCCATAAAAGGGGCTGATTACGGATCATTATTGCTTTACCCCACCACCCGAAAATATGAGCAGGAACAAACTCATCAAAAAGTGTCTCCTGAAAAACCAAAAACAAATTAAAATCTAAAGATGAAAAAAAGAGACTTGTTTGATACTCAAAACTACAAAATCTTTTTTCAAAGGAAAAGAAGATATGAAAAGATTGTGAAAGAAGAAATCATACATAAACATTTATAAACCTGCTAGTTGGATTATCAGCCACATAAATTCGACAATCACTGCCATATGATCTCTCAGGAAGCTCTGAAAACATGTCAAAGATGTCAAAGATAAAAAGTCAACACATCAAATAAACCAATTTATATGAAATGTAAATAACACAAAATATGTTACCAATTCCAAGATCAGGGTGGAGATACTTCATAAGCTGCCTAGCATCATCACGATTCTGCCATGAAAAGTTTTAGCCGAGTTTTAGGTTGTGGGGATTGTGGAAATTACAAATTTGCCCCCCAAAAAGGTTGAGAAGGTTCCATGATATATGGTTCCATGCAAGGGTATTAGCATAAAGAAAGTAAAGATAAAAAAGTCAACCTGGAAAAGCAAAAAAGTCAAAGCAACAAGGTAGATAACAGCCATTCCATGAACTAAACGCCAAATCGCAGGATGTGGTCTAATTAATAACCTGAAAAAGATCATGAGATTATTGAATGATTTAAAGTCCTGTATGGGTAATGTTGTCATTTTCTCAAAAACTTTTTGAACATAATCAATCCAATAATTAATAATCATGTTGTCAACTTTGTTAAATCAAGAAACATACGTTGAAGGAGCTTGCAGTAAACAATAAGTCAGAAAAACTGCAATCATTGCCCATATGCCCCTTTAATAAGAAATAAAGATTAGAATAAATGAACAATAATTGCATGAATGACACAAAATCATCATATGAATAATAATAATAATAAAAAAAAGATTCACCTTTTGACTGATGTAACAAGATCAGGCGATGAATTACTTTCAGGAGTAAGAGCTCCACTTGCCCAACTGAAAAGTAAAATAACTTAATCATAACTTATACAAAAAAACAAGATTCTAAAACCCAAATGAATATCAATGAAATGGTTAATGATTAGAAATACAAGAATCTTGATTTTTGAGCATGAAATTCAAGAAACTTACATAAGAAAACATGCACCAATGAATAACAATGAAATGGTACGAGGTTTGTAGGCCCAAGCTGTCCATGGGTCGAGTTCTTCATCAGGTGATGAAGTGCTCACTTCGCCATTAATATTGTAGTGAATTATATGTTCTCTTCTTCTTCCTCTCCTATTAAAACCATTAGTCTCCATAAAGCTGTATCTTGATCACTACAAAACAAATCACACCATGATAATAGATTATGTAATTGCGTCGTACTATTAGCAAATGAATTAAAAAACCATGATTAGAGTCGATTAGCGAATAATCCTTGAAAGAAGTCAATAAAGGGATAAGTAAAGTAAAAGTACACAAGAAATTAAGGACGAAGGGATGTGGTTTCATTTCCATGGAGAATAGCTGGATGCAATGCATGAATTTAAAAAAGGGGAAAATGAATTTAGGTTGACTAAAAGGTCAAGATTAGAAAAAGAAGAAACGGAAGAAGACACAATACGTCATACGATTATCGTTTTATAATCAAAGAATTTAAATTGATTTCAAAGATTATCGTATATGAAGAATTCGAGAGGAAATTTATGAGAAAAACACTATTTTCACACACAGAAAGAGATTAGAGACCTTTGATAAGTTGACGAAATTCTATCGATCCTTGCTTTTCCCACAGTTTTCTAATTAAAAAGGATCGAAGAATGTATCAATTCCACAACATGATTCGAACACCCACATATTGGCTTTCAATCATATCGCCATCGAATCTCAAATCAAACACTAAAAAGCAAAACCATGTCGTCAAAATGCGATGCATAATCAACAAACCCCACTTGAAATTTCCATCGAACATTGAAAACCCATATCAGAACCAAAAAAGAATACAGAAATTAATGAAGAGATGGTAATACAGAGTGCATGAAAATGGATAAAGAAGGTACATATAGGTATTAAAAAGTACACAGACATACATGTACATCAGAACAGATTATCAGGAGAGAGAAAGAGAGAGTTTATTACATATTAACTGAGCCCTAGCCGCAAGATTGGAAGGAAAAAAGATCCGTACCCTTTGATCTCTGAAAGAAAAGACGTCAATGATGAAATATATATTGGGAAGAACTGATGGAAGGTATGATTAATCAGGGTTTTGAAAGGCTAAAAGCTAACTGAATTCTTTTCTCTCTTTCAATTTATATTCTTTCAAAAAGGTTTCTTGATTAATCCGTGTTTGTATATATATAGGGCGTGTATGTATATATTGGTGCCACAGAGAGATGAGAGAGAGAAAAACAGTGATATGGGAGAAGAAAAAGTACGATGGTCCAGAGAGAGAGAAGACAGATTTTATAAGATAGAGGAGAATTAGGAAGCCAAAGAACGTAACATAAATTGTATGTGTAAGTGTGTGTTGTATAATTATGTGATAATAATAAACTTTTGTTTTATTCTTTTTATCACCTTTTTCTTCTACTTTTTAAGTTTCAAGAAAAAAGTTTATGGATTTTATAAGTTTAGACCCAAAAGAATGGATAAAAGCGGCACAAATTTATATCGTTTAATTCAACGGTTTTGATAAAGTTTATATTATAATAGATAATTATGAGATTTAAATCTAAAGATAACGCCAAATTAAGATCTAATACTTGAAATGAATATTAACTTTTGCTAATTTATAGATTTTTATAAATATGTTTTTAAAATAACAATTATATAGATTTTTTTAATAGAATTGGCTTTTTTTTAAGTGGAAAGAATTATTCAACTTAATCATGACCAACATTTTTTTGTGCTTCTTCATTCTATTTTAAGACATTCCTAATGTGATTATAAATCACATTGGATAAATGAGAGATTATCTACCCTAATAAATCAAGAGTTTTTTTTATTACATGTTATACTCTTATTTAATTTATCAAATGTTATTTTGTGGTTATTTTGAATTAATTTATTTTTCACATGTAATTTTATGAGTTTTTCTATTTAATTTAATAATTACAATAAGTGTAGTAATAAATGAATATCAATTTCATTAATGAACTTACCTTCTTATTTTAAAATTCTCAAATTAAAGCTCATTAATTTATTTTGTTTATTTATTTAAATTTAAAAGATAAAAAAATCAATTTTAATAATTCATTATTTTTTTATCTACTCTAATAAATCTTTTGCCACATATCACACTCTCATTCAATTTGTCAAATGTCATTTTGTGGTTATTTTAAATTAATTTCTTTTCCATATGTCATTTTATGGGTTTTTCTATTTAATGTAATAATTATAGTAAGTGTAGTAATAAATGAATATCAATTTCATTAATGAACTTACATTGTTATTTCAAAATTCTCAAATTAAAGCTCATTAACTTATTTTGTTTATTTATATAAATTTAAAAGATAAAAAAATCAACTTTAATAATTCATTATTTTTCTTATTTTCTTATAAATCAAAAGTTTTTAAATATTTAAACTTTTATATTTAATTTTTTTAATTAACCTATGTAATACATGTGTCTTACACCTAGTTTTAGCCAATAAACAAAAAGGTGGTTTGGATATTGGTTCATTGGAAGCTTATACCAAAGCTTTGCTTCTTAAATGGAAAAGGGCGTTTTTTAGTGGACTATGATTCAATATGGGTTAAAGTTTGAAAGTCTTTGTATGGGAAACATGGTGGTTTTAGTTGGAATGATGGTTCGGTTGGTAAAAGATGAGTTTGACATTCGATCATTGGTACAATCAATCAACTCATGACATCGGAGTAATCTCAAGGGATGCCATTATTCGAAAAGTTGGTAATAGATTGAGTATTTGTTTTAGGAAAGACAAGTGGATTGATGATAGTCCTTTGATGGTGTGGTTTCCTAGACTTTTTATTTTGGAGACCGATAAAGATTGTTGTATTAATCAAATATGGAATGGGGTTGACTGGAATTGGAGTTGGTCTCGCCCGATCAAGGGGTACTCAATTTGCGATGCTACAAGATTTGATGACCCTTATTTTTCAGTTCGTTTTTTCGGAGTGTAGAGATAAGTGGGTGTGGGATGTTGGCGATTCTGTTGAGTTTGTCGTGTTAGAGGCCCGTACATTTATAGATGATCTTATTCTTCCATACGGTTCTCTTTCTGCTAGATGGAATAAATATGTCATTCTTAAAGTAAATATTTTCTATTTGAGATGTCATTTAAACAGGTTACCAACTCATATGAAACTGGTTAATAAAGGTGTGGATGTCCCCTTGGTGGTTTGTTCTGATTTTAATGATGATTTGGAAGATATCTATCATCATCTCATTCGGTGCGAAGTGGCTGTTAATCTTTGGACGTTTTTTGAGAGATAGTGTGATGTTGTTATTCCTAATTTTGCAGAAATTAAAGATATGGTTGTGTGGATCGATTCCCTTCGTTTGTATGTTGTCAAGAAAAGTACAGTGGAAGCGATTGTCATGATTATGTGGTGGTTGCTTTGGAATTTTAGGAACGATGTTATTTTTAATGGTCAAAAGATAAAAAGGATTATGTTGATTGACAATTTGATCAATTACTCATATAATTGGTTTGTTTGTAGAAATAAGAAGCTTTTTATTAGTCGGGTTGCGTAGTTTTCAACCCCTATTCTTTCCATTCCCTTGTAATTATATCATATATGTTAGCTTTTTGCTAACTTTCTAATAAAATATTCACTTAAAAAAAGTATCGAGTTAGGATTATGTTTTTTGGGTGGACATCTTTCATTTCTCTATTGATGTTGAGATGAACCAAACCAATTCCAAAGGGGCAACTTGGACTAATAGGTAAGATAAAATCGAACCGAAGAATAATTTGTATGTTACAATCTATTTATTTCACTCTTTAATTTATCCTTTAAATGTCTTGATTCATTAATCATTATTAATCATCCACTATATTGTATTTATGATGTCTTAAATCTTTTTCATGGTGTCTGCTTCTTTATGTTTAACATTGAGTGGCTAGGTTTCTTATCTGATTCTTCAATCTTAGAGAATGTGGACTCTCTTCAAGATATTCCATACTCATTCTCATTTGTTTAAGACTCAATTTCTGTAACAACCCGAAATTCGTATCATTGCTTGTAACCCTTTTCGTAACTCATTTCGATAATCCAATCGCCGTTTCCAATTTCGTTTCCGATTTCATCATTTAATTAAGTCATTAATTTGTAATTGATATTATGACTTAATGGGTGTCCTAATACTTTTAGAACTTATTCTAACACCCCATATTAGTAATTGGAACATTTCTAGAATCAACCATATCGGATTACGACAACTTGATCGGGTGCGACCAAAAGCCCCGTCTAACGCCGGTATCGGGTAGAATTCCCCCGTGTCCAAATCCCGAATACTATTTAAAGTGACCCAAGATTCCATTTGAAGCTTTTGCTTCATCTCACTACTCTCTCTCTAACCTCTCTCCTCAACCAAAGAATCAAGGTCCAAAACATTGAATTGAGGCTCTAAATCTTTGAGGTAACATCCCTAACTTGTTGTATAACCTCTTAGGCCTTCAAATTCGTGTTTAATCTATCATTTTGGACCTGGAACATGTGTTTATGGCCAAGGAGCACGCTTGGGCTGTAAAAACTTAATAAATGGGTTTTTGAGCAATTTAACCCCTCCAAACCAACTATATGGCTTACCAATTTGGACTTAGAACACATTAAACATGGTATTGAGGAGTAAACATGAGTTTACTGCCCAAGAACAATCTTGGGTCGTAAACACCTCAATCATGGGGAGTAAACTCATTTAAACATGTTTAAAAGCCATATAACTCCACCAATAGCCTTGGAATAAATCCTAGAATCATCTAAAAATAGTTTAGGGTTAAACATGTCAAACACCCTCCAAATGAGAGTTTATGGCCATGACACCCCAAGGACAAGTTCCAGGGCCGTAAACTCCTCTTTATGTGTCAAATGATGCCCAAAACTCATACCAAGGCTTGGAAAAATAGTTGGAATCACATGTGATTGTCCTAGCCTCACAAAATAAATTATGGTTTGAGCTTGGGGGAGTTTACGGTCGTAAACTCCATGTTTACTACCGTGAACTCCCATAAATGATATTCATGCAAGTGCAATCCATCCTAAGGCTTTAGAAAAATCCATTCCAACATTTACCATGTGCATTTAAGCCATTTAGCACTCCAAAACACCCAATCATGAGTTCACGGCCGTGAACTCATGTATGTATGGGGTATGTGGCCGAAAACTCCCTAAGGAGTTTACTTCTCAAGTCCCACGCATCATTACACGTCCGTAGATGTCACCCAGGTCACTCCAAACACTTGTTTTGAAGTGTTTTCGCTCATTGGAGTGTATTATCATATCTAATTAGTGGTTTAAAGTCTAATTAGATACCTTTGGATACCATTTCATATTACATAGGAACCTCGCATGTTAAAAATCCCCGAACCAACGTTTAGTATCCGAAACAGTTGCGTCTTCTCGTCTGGTGAGTTCATACCCCTACCCTTTTTCACTGTTTTCAGGGGGAGGGGGGGATACAAGCAAAGTACAATGGATAATTGTACATAAAAACTTGTTTTACATGTTTATGTTTCATAATTCATATGCTTTTGACACTGATAATCATAACAGATAACCATTCGAAACTTGCAGGATAATCATATGCATTATTTGTGAAATTAGCTATAAGCTGTTATGTTTATTATTTCACAAATGGTTTTCCAAATTTTTATCAGTTAAAAGCATGACATTAGAACCTTTGAACATGAAACCTTGTACACTGTTTTGTCCTCGGTAACACTCCACAGAGATACGCAAGTGGAGGATTATTGTATTATTACTAGTAAATTTGTTAGTCCTATATAATTGGAGATACGTCCTCGGTGAACACTCCACATAGATATGCGAGTGGAGGACCGCAACCGTAACCAGAATCTCTTAGATAGGGAGCGTGACTTGAGTGTATAGATCTATACGGGGTTGACTACCCCACACCTAGCTGCTAGCTACAGTCGAACCGAAATGGTTCAAGGGTGACAAAAGTCATAAGGTGATGTGGACTACTTATTGCCATATTTAGTCTTATTGTATGGTTATGGGACTCGCAATTAGGGTAACAGAGATTTACTAAATAGTAATAATGAATAAAGTAATCAACTTACTTAGTAAATTTTAGTTTTATATATGTGTTAAAACTAATACATTTCACAAGATAACCAGGTTTTCAGAATACATCTTTCACATTGGTAATCAACATTCAGAAAAATATGGGATTTTCCTGGGGAACATTGTACATAACCAGAAAAGAGTAACAAACCAGATAACTTTACATTCACAAGAGTAAACATGTTTTCAGTGTACAACCTCACATTACATTTCGGGAATTCAATAACCAACCTTTTTAAGAA